TATACAGGCTTCAATGTGGTGGGTACATGTACGTTCCAAATTATATACAGCAGTTGAACAGCATAGGTAAACAAATCGAATATCAAGTTAACATTTAACATGAGAAAAAAAAGATATATGTTTTGTTATATGTCAGCTTGGTATTTCATTTGATTACCTATGCTGTTCAACTATAATTATGTATTTATATACATAATGTATGTATTTACGTATGTACAGCATATCACATAATGATAAATTTTTTATTGAATAATGCCTCAACTATTGATATAAAAATTTAAAATCAAATATGTGTAGGCCTATTAGAAGAAACTAGATAATGCAGTGGATGTATATTATTGTTAATAACAGAAAATAAGGTCTTTTAATAACAGTAAACATGTCTATGTACGTATGCCCAGACATATTACGGATAAAGGTTCATGCTTACTACAGTTCTGAGGAATGCATGTCATTTATGATCGTCTAAAAAAATACAGGCCTAAGTAAAATAATAAAATGATTTCTTTACTCAATCAGTGGTTCAATTAACCATTCTGATTGTTTTTATTTTGATTGTTTCATTTGTTTTTATTATTTATTTATTTATTTATTGTTATTATTATTATTGTACAGTGATATAATAATAATTATTGTTATTTGTTATTAGTATTTTAATAAAAATTGTTATTGTATTAATAATTATAATATTTTGTATATTATAATTATTATTATTGTTAATTGTGTAAAGTTTATTCAGAGTTATAACACTATCAATATTACTGTTATGAAATAAATTATTTTATGTTGTTAATTATGATACTGATATAATTGCTATTGCTTATCATTATATAGTTTTATCGGATGAATGCTAATTTGTACATATACAGAAAGAATGTCGATATTTATGTATAAAATGAAAAAAAGAAATAAATAAAATATATATGAATGTACATATTGTGCTATTTATTTCTATTTTTAGATATCCATGTGCGGATGTGTGGTTAATAGAAAGACGTAATTGTATGTGACCTAATGTTAATAGCATTACGTCACATACAATTACGTTTTTGTATGTGACGTAATGACACTAAACTTAACCACGTCATGAGAATTGTATGTATCAATGATAGACCCTGCTGTTTTATATTAAGATTTCTTAAATCCACCGATATTACCAACACTTCCTTGATACGATATTTCGTAATAACAATTATCTTTTATATCAGTTACTAATTTTAAAATTGCTTGTTATATTATAAACTGCCACGTAAGACTATACAAATAAATTGAAAATTAAAAGTTCTGATTAGATATATATTTAATCTCTAAATCCAAAATATAGAACATTACAAGGCGAAAAGAGATGCAAAAAGCACATTGATATGAAATCGAAGGCAAACGATATAAGATTAGAAAGAGAAAACTATCGAGAGAGAGAGACATTCATTGGAATTTTGAGCAACCAGAAGAATTAAGTAATAAAATAATATGAACATTTACATAGCGCTCATAGCTTTTAAACAAGATACACAAGGCATCTGCTGTCTCACAGATGCGTTTTGAGGGCCGACTTAAATTTACTTTATAGGCCTAAAGCAAAGAAGACTTTCTGAGCCGTGGAATTTGAAAGCTCGTTCTTGGGCAAATCACAAGAAGACATGGAATTATTTGGCTGAAAACATTTAATTAAGACAGGGTATGATGTGTATTGATCTCAAAATATACCAAGGCTAGGGACTGAAACTTTTTGTCTGAATAAATTATAGAAATAAAGAGATTCTGGGTGGTATATTTGTTAGTATTTCCGTCTTTGATAATGTGACTATGTCAATAAAAATAACGTTCTCCCAGATTATTATTTTATATTTCATCAAGAATTTGTGCGGGAGAGGTCTATCAGAGGTGATCAATTGGATATCAGTGCATACAATAAAATACAATAGTATATAAATATGAAAATAAAACTAATTCCTTAACATTAATAAAATGAATTATATTAAAATAGAGCCTACAAAACCCGTAATAGCCTATGAATGACGTATATCTTCAACTGTTAATCAGATAGTAGTTGGATTGTATCTGGTACCGGTGTTTACCATCGGGTTCTTGTGGTCTAGTGGCATGACACTCGCCTTGACATCGAGATATCGCGGGTTCAACTTCCCGGAAAGCTGTTTACAGCTTATCTCTATATCGTATCACGAAGCAACTTTTCGAAGATCCCTTTTTGTCGTTAAATGCTTAAGACGAGAGCGTATCATAAATATCCATATTGATCGTTTTTATTTGCGGAACAATAGAGACTAATGCTGTTCAACTACGCATCCACAAAAGGATGATTCCCCAACGAAGCCTCAGTAGCATTAAACTTCGAAATTTCCTACGGTAATATAATCTAATAATTACCCAAAAAAATACTAGGAGAAAAATAGCCCAATTTGGCAAAAATTTACAGGGTATATAGCTCATGGTTTTTGTCGAAGTTGGAAATTTTTTTCGACCCTGCCATTTTGCGGTTTTGAGTTCTGTATAGCACCTACAGATCATACGACACCACGGATCACAAAAATACCATCCATGTTGTAAATGCAACTTAAAATCTACATTTAAGCTTAAATAATATTTTACTTATTCATTAGGCACATGCCTCTAACTTTAATTTTAGCATAATTCACAAGCTTAAATGCTTTGAAAATGATCTTAACAAGATTAATTCAAACATAGGCGAAAAATAGCCGAATTTTGGCAAAAACACAAAAGGTGTAATTCATTATTTTAGTCGAAATTGGACACAAAAATGCTCGTAGAAAGTTTGAAAATTCCTCTTAAAACATAATTTTAAACATGAATAATGTTAATTTTGATGATGTCTAATTAATTAGATATAAGCCTAGTTTCTGGCATAATTTAAAAATAAGATTGTAAAAAAATGCAATTTAACTGTTTACTGGATTAATCTGCAATCAGTTGTAATTCAAACGATCGATATTTTCATGGTAATTTAGTAGATTCTCGGGCCGCCAAATGTGGCCCTGGGGGCGGCAGCGTAGGCTGTAGCTGTGGAAATTCCCAATGGGCTCGGAAAGCCAGCAAAGGGCCAATCGGGTTCCAGGACAGAGTCCCGGTGAGCGTTGGTGTTAATCTTCTAAAGTTACAGCCGTTTATGTATTAAAATGCTTTAATTTAAACAATTATATAGAAATTAGATCTTGAACTTTGTGTCCTGAATCCCAAGCGGGGCCCCGGTCCACTTTCAGCCCAATCCCCTCTGCGCTATTGCCACTGAGGAATATATGGTATAGAAACAGTGCTCGAATAGGGGGACAATTATGGTATTACTTATTATATCCATCTTGCTGAAAGTACTGTACACTTGGAGACTAAACTCTAAATTGTCTTGAGGTAATATAATAATATGTGATATA